AGAGAGGTGGCTAGGGGGTTATTGTGAGGGTGGCGAGTGGTGGCGAGGGGGGTTTGTTGAGGGTGGAGAAGCAGGGAGGGGGGGGTGACTGTTGAGGATGGAGAAGCGGGTTTATTGTTGAGGGTGGGGAGAGGCAGGGAGGGGGTTATTGTTAAGGGTGGAGAGGCAGGAGGGGGGTTATTGTTGTGGGGGGGAGGGGATGTTATTGGTTGAGGGTGTAGAGGCAGAGAGGGGGGTTATCATTGAGGGTAGAGAGGCGGGGAGGGTTATTATTTATGAGGGTAGAGAGGTAGGGAGGGGCTTATCATTGAGAGGGTAGAGAGGCGTGGGGGGGGGGAGGGGGCTTATCATTGAGGGTAGAGAGTTGGGGAGGAGTCTTATCATTGAGGGTAGAGAGGTAGGGAGGGGGGTTATCATTGAGGGTAGAGAGATGGGGAGGGGGGTTATTGGTGATGGTGGAGCGGCGGGGAGGGGGGTTATAGTTGGGGGGTGGGAGAGGCGGGAGGTGGGTTATTGTTGAGGGTTGAAGAGGCGGGAGGAGTTGACATTGAGGGTAGAGAGGTTGGGAGGGGGGGGTTATTGTAGGGGGTGTGTGGAGGGGAAGGTATTGTTGACGGTTTGGAAAGGCAGGAGGGGGGTTTATCAATGAGGGTAGAGAGGTGGGGAGGGGGCTACCAGTTGACTGGTAGTAGAGAGGTGGGAGGGGGGTTATCAGTTGTAGGATGGAGAGGGGGGGAGGGGGTGGTTTATCATTGGGTGTGGGTTATTGTTGAGGGTGTGTGGAGTGGTGTGAGAGGGGTTTACATTAATGGGTAGAGAGAGGCGGGGAGGGGGTTATCATTGAGGGTAGAGAGGAGGGAGGGGGGTTATCATTGAGGTTAGAGAGAAGGAGGGGGGGGGGGGTTATTGTTGATGGTGGAGAGGCGGGGAGGAGTTACATTGAGGGTGAGAGAGGCGGGGGAGGGGGTTATTGTTGGGGGGTGCGGAGGGGAAGTTATTATTGAGGTGGAGAGACAGGGAGGGGGGGTTATCAATGAGGGTAGAAACGGCAGGGATGGGGTTATCATAGAGGGTAGAGAGGCGGGGAGGGGGGCTACCATTGATGGTGGAGAGACAGGGAGGCGGGTTATCGTTGAGAGTGCAGAGGTGGGGAGGTGGGTTTTATTGTTGAGGTGGAGAGGCGGGGAGATGGGTTATTGTTGAAGGGTGTGGAGAGGTGGGGGGAGGAGTTTAGTCATTGAGGGTAGAGAGGCAGGAGGGGGTTATTGTTGATGCCTCGATTATAGACATCTTGAGTTTTTAAGTCATTTTATTTTGAACGCAGAAAACTTGCTTTCAAGCAGTTGATTTTTATCAGTGTTTCCAAACACAAAATGCTTGTAAACACGGCTAAACGCTTGTGTAAACGCTGCAAATCGCGTTTTTATTATAAGCAATTGGTTGTGAAATTTTTTTTTAACTCTTCAGTTCCTGATGCTTGTCCAGAGACTTTTTTCCATCATGAAATGCATGGAAAGCGTTTTCAAGGTACTCAGATGGAGACAAAACACGGAAAACAGGATGTTTTTCCTACCAAGCTTGTCATGCATTACAAAGACCAATGCACACCTCAGACCTCTCCCACCCTTGGAACAAAAAAGATATGTTAATGACCATTCACTCACCTCAAATTCCTCATGAAGACCCCCTGCCAGGTGGCCTTAATGACTCCCTCCACCAGACACCTTTCCCCCACCCTTGGAAACAAAAGAAATGTTAATGAGCAAACTCACACCAAAGCTAATCTCAACACATACTGCTGTCCTCTGCTTCCACTCTCTTTATTTCCTGAAACAGTCTGAAATAGTTTAATAATTTACGCTTTTTCAGTGCATTCTGGGCATTTGGGAGGTCTCCTGTGATTATCTTTAAAAAACGCTTCTAAATACAAAAGCACATTACTCCCTTTCCCTTCTCCTCCTTGCTATTCAAGTCACTAGTGGTGAAATACCATTAAGGAGAGACAGGCTCTGGGGCAGGAACAACTTTGATGCAGCTGTATTATTGAAGGTGGAATACAAATGCTTATGGAAGAGTGGATTGGTACAGTATGTGATTCCATTCCTTTGATGTACTTTTATTTTTACTGCTGTCTTAATCCTTGTGCAATATGGATAGCTACTTTTCAGCTTGTATTTTTTTTAACAAAAAAAGTCATTGTATTTAAAAGTCAAAGGTTTTTTTTTAACCATATTTGCATTTTATCTAAAAAAAAAAATCCCTGACCACATGAGCCCTTACCCTGACTGAATGACAGCAGCTTGTAAAGTTGGTTATCTATTAACCACTTGCCTACCAGGCACTTATACCCCTTATTTACCAGGCGCCAATTTTCAGCTTTTAGCGCTGCCGCACTTTGATTGACAATTGCGCGGTCCCATGCAACCATTGTACCCATATGAAATTTTGATCATTTTTTTCACTCAAATAAGCGCTTTCTTTTGGTGGTATTTAATCGCCACTGGGCGCTTAACTTTTTTTGCGCTATAAATAAAAAAATTGCAAAAAAATTTGAAAAAAAAAAAACGTTTCTTTGTTTCTATTATAAAAATTTTTCAAAGGACAGGCATTTTTCTCTCCTTCACTGATGTGCGGTTGATGAGGCAGCACTGATGGCACTGATAGGCGGCACTGATGGGCACTGATAGGCAGCACTAAAGGGCACTGAGTCAAGGCAGTACTATGAGGTGGCAACGGATAAGGCGGCACTGATAGACAGCACTAATGAGGTGTCACGGATAGGCGGCACTAATATGCAGCACTGATAGGCGGCACTGATAGGTAACACTGATGATGGGTTACTGATAGACGGCACTGACTGCATCACTGCTGGGCACTGGACTGGCGGCACTGACTGAGCACAACCCAACCCCTGGGCACTGACTGGTGGCACTGACTGGCAGCACTGCTGGCTGCACTGGTGGGTGGCACTGGTGGGAAGCACTGGTGGGTGGGCACAGGTGGGTGTGGCACTGCTGGGGCACAAGTGGGGTGGCACTTCTGGGCACAGGTGTGTGACACGGCAGAGTGGCACGGGTGGGTGCAACTGCTGGCACAGGTGGGGTGATATGCTGGCCACAGGTGGGGTGGAGCTAGTGGGCGCACTGCCTGGGCACAAGGTGGGCGGAACTGTTCGGGTGGCACTGCTGGGCAACCATCCATCAGGGCACTGATGATCAGTGCCCTGATGGATCGGGTGCCGATCCCTCGCTCTGGACAACTGCCGGTTCTCAGGCAGTACTTTCTCACACGAATTTCTGACCAGCGTGAGGAAAGTACAGGCCGGAGAACCGGCACTTGCAATTTCCCTCTGATCGCTTGTCATTGGACACCGCTGAGTCAGGTGGTAAAAAGGCGGCTGTAGATTGGCCTTTTAACCACATTCACGTGAATCAGCTGTGGTCCCATTGGACACAGCGATTCACGGAGATCGGCCGGTTGTGCGCGCCCCTGGGCCGGCGCATGAGAGCGCGTACTGGGGAGGACGTCATATGACGTATGACGTCCACTCAGATAACTGTCCCCGGGTCCGCAGTGCAGCCCGTCATTCGGCTATCTGCTGTCCGGCAGGTCGTTAAAGTCGCCCTAAATCAATGGTGAGATATTTACTGATGGGAACAAGCTTCTTCTATAATTAATTATGCAGGATTTATATAGAGCCATCGATTTGTGCAATATTTTACAAAAAATTAGGGAGACAGTACAGTTTCAATCCAATTCTATTCATACAGGAGGGCCCTACACGATAACAGCCTACAATTTTCCATTTTATAGTGATCTATACATACTGTAGTAAATTGGGAATACCTATAAAGTGTCTTATGATCAGGCAAAGCCACATGTATACGTATTCTTTTTAGATTTTACTTTTGTGCAAAAACAGAAAACATAGATTATGCTCTACTTTGGTTGCATTCACCCCACTTTAAATCTAATATTGCGAAAGAGCTACCATTTTTAGTTTGAGGAAATTTCTGTACAGCCTTTTATGCAATCATCATTTAAAACCAAGGGGAACGTTTATAATTATTATGGCAAGAACTTTATCCCTGAAAATGTCATCTCCACCATCTGACTCTAAGTTAGATACAACATAGGTAGTTTTACCACAGGAGATAACAGACAACATTGTGTGAATTGTTCCTTGCTGCTTAATGTAGATTATTATTATACAGTATTTATAAAGCGCCAATAGTTCGCTCAGCGCTGTACATTACAAAGGGGGACAGAACATGTGACAGAACAATAACAATACAATGCAAAACATGAGGGGATCGAGGGCCCTGCTCTTTTGAGCTTACAATCTAGGAGGGAGGGGATGGTGGTACAGGAGGAGATAGCTGTGGGGGATGGAGTGGTAGGAGGAGTGGAGGAGGTTGGCAAGTTAGCAGGGGGTGGGGTAGGCTTCCCTGAAGAGATGGGTTTTCAGGGTGCGCCTAAAGGCGAGGAGAGTAGGTGATAATATGATGGGTTGAGGCAGGGAGTTCCAGAGGACGGGTGACACCCTGGAGAAGTCCTGGAGGCGGGCATGGGAGGAGGAGACCAGGGAACTAGAGAGAAGGAGGTCTTGTGAGGAGCAGAGTGTGCGTGTTGGGAGGTACTTGGATATTAGGTCAGTAATGTAGTTCAGGGCAGTATGGTGGACAGCTTTGTATGTCAGTGTTAGGATTTTGAATTTGATCCGTTGCGCAGTCGGAAGCCAGTGGAGGGGATGGGCAGAGGGGGGTGGCGGAAACGGAGCTGTTGGAAAGGTGAATGAGTCTGGCAGCCGTATTAAGGATCGACTGAAGCGGGGATAGCCAGCGGCGAGGCAGGCCAGTAAGGAGGGAGTTGCAGTAGTCGAGTCGTGATATGATGAGGGAGTGGATGAGCTGTTTATTGGTTTCTGAGGTTAGGAACGTGCGGATTTTGGCGATGTTGCGGAGGTGGAGTCTGCATGAGTTAGTTAAAGATTGAACTTGGGGCTGGAAGGATAGGTTGGAGTCCAGAATGACACCAAGTACTCTGGCCTGCGGGGCGGGTTGATAGTGGCGTTGTTGGATGTGATGGAGAAGTCAATGGGGGGGTGGTGTCTGGGCTGGGGGGAAGACAAGAAACTCGGTTTTGGAGAGGTTCAGTTTAAGGAAGTGGAGCAACATCCAGTCTGATATGTCGCTCAGTAGGTGTGTGATTCGGGCGGAGACCGAGGGGGGGGGTGAGATGGGGGGTTGAGAGATAGATTTGTGTGTCGTCAGCATAGAGGTGGTAGTTGAAGCCGTGACAGTGTATGAGTTGGCCAAGGGAGGAGGTGTAGATGGAGAAGAGAAGGGGCCCGAGGACAGAGCCTTGAGGGACCCCAACAGAGAGGGGGAGTGAGGGGGAGATGGTAGCATTATAGGTAACGCTGAAGGAGGCATACAGTAAATTAACTTCTTTTCATTTCAACCCACAGGGCTGAAACAGAGGAATCTGCATGCATTGTGACTAGCCAAATCTGGCCATAACACTAGTATAATTTCAGTCAAAAGTCTGCATTTTAAGAAAATTCACTGGGATTTTATAATCAATAATGAGGTCAAACATAGTGATGAGAACATTAAAAAAAAAAAAACAGGATGGAAATTTTTTCTTGAATGAATACATTTCTAACAGCGTATATAGTTTTCATTCTGAAAAGTCCATTATTACCCAAAATTGAATGTTAAAATCAAACAAAATTTTAGGTATTTTCAGACCACATTCATTTAATTCATTGAACGTTTGTTTATAAAATCTACTAGTGTATTGTCAACTTGGAGTCTTATATTTGTCAGCAAACTATCCTGTAAACAAATTTAACTGTGATTTGGAAAAACACACATGAACGAATTTTC